CAAGGATAACACGGCAGTATTTAAAAAAAAAAAACACCAAAAAACCGCAACTACAATTTTTCTTAAAATTAAAAACTAAAAAACACGCTTTAAAAGCAGGAATTTTAACGTTAGGACCATATTCAAGGAGTACATTTCACCCCGATTAAAAAAAACAAAACGCCTCCCACACAGGATACGAACGCATGCCTTCTGGGTGCCACGGGCAAGTGCCTAACAGCTACACCATAGACGCCAGTCTTAATGGAGCGATATTTTGTAATATTAAGTGTTTTCTGATGAGCTGTTTGCTGCCAACAAATTAATGTTTTTGTTTCTTCGTTTGAGTACAGAAAAGCACATCGGATCGGCACCATAACGCTTATTTGATATTTGATGCAGGTAAAAGGTAAGACAGACTAAAAAAGTGGAGGTCGGGAAAGAAAAGAAGGGCCTACCGGTGCCCCCCCCCCTCTCCTCTCCACCCCCCTACCCCAATAACTCTCGTTTGTCAGGTAATCTCTACCCTGGAATTACAAAGCTCAATCTGCTCAGTACATCCTAGTTTGGGGAAATTTGAAGTAAAAAACATTTTGAGTATCACAACATGTCAAGCTTTTTCGAATGCAATTCTTTGAATATCTTGATAACGACTCCGAACAGTCTTACGATTTTGACAGAGTAGATACAGAATAATTTGGTTTCTGACCTCATTGTCTTAGTAAATCAAAACTTGACAAACATGTAAGATAGAACTTTGTAGCTCTGAGGTTTTGTGATGTAGTAAAAGAGAGACGGTATTGCCATCTCGTAGAAAACCCATCTACACTGTATTACTGCGTGTGTTTGCGTACAAAATTCGCGTTGTTCCGATCCCATTTTTCAAACGTCTTCGTCCTTCAAACCGTCTTTGAACTATTTCCCCTGCGTCTAAAAGCAGGTTATTATATCGTCGTTGTCGTTGTTGATATCTTTCATCTCTTTTTTCTCTTTCAAAAATAAACTCCAATGAGCTTTGGGGTAGCCATGCGAATAATGTGAACTTTTATGCCCAATCATATTCGCGAAGACATCAACACCATTGTCCGCCACACAAGTTCGGAAAAGCTTAATTGAAAAAACATGGACGTTTGTTCATCACTAAAATTCAAAATCCTTTTTTGCTTTTCTAAGCCAAAACGCATGAACAGAATTCTTAATTCAGAGAGGAAAATTGTCCGTACTTTAAGGCAGAAAAAAACCCCCGAAACCGCACGGCACAAAGGAGCTTCCTAGGGCGCGCTGTCGTGTATAAATTTAAAAACTGTATCTTTTAATTCAGATGCTGGATTCCTCCGGGAAAGAAAGCAAGATTAATCAAGGATATGTCAAAAACTGGCATTCGGCGAAAAGAAATAAAGATGACAGGGCAATGTCCTCGGGAAGACAGAAAAAAGTAAAACTTGAGGCAGGGCGCTGCAAGGGGGGTAAAGCAGAGACCCTGTGAGTGAGTGTGTGTGTGTGTG